CTGAAGCGTATGTAACCCGAGGTACCACTGTACATGGCTTTCCCCCCAATAATCCTGGGAGCTGTAGTTTACCCTTCAAAGAGCTACAGTTCTCAGCACCTTTAGCAAACTACTGTTGCCAGGATTATTTGAGGGAAGTAATGTGCTTTAAATGTATGGTGTGGATGTGACCATAAGCTGTTACCAGCTCTGGGCTCCTAGAGACTGGTATTCTATTATGAATGTATTCTGCAGCATGTTCTTCAACCAAAATAAACCAGAAACATTTGTGAAATAAAAAGTGATGGGATTTTTTCAACAGGAAGTTACAGAATAAGCATTGACTGGAAATGACTACCTCAAAACTTTTGCAGGCGCAAACAGTATTGAAAGTACAATCACATGTGATCTCCCCAGCAGCAGCAAAGTACAAATCATTATGAATAATCACTAAATAGGATGTTTGGAGGTCTGTTACTTCTGCTCCTTGATACGTGCTCATGAAGTTTCTCCTGCATCCGCCAGTTCAGTTGGCTTAAGAACATAAGAAGAGCCTGCTGGATCAAGCCAATCGCCCATCTTAGTCCAGCATCCCATTCTCACAGAGGCCAACCAGATGCCTGGGCTGGCCCAATATAAGGCTTCATTTCTTAGTTAAGATCCATCAGGGTCCAGCCACGCCCAGCAAATTCCAAAAACATGGAATGGAAACTGCAGCTTTGGAGAGGCCTCTTCCACTCATGTTCCTCCTTACAAGTTTCCTCCTGGGGCATTTGATGGCCACTGTGATGACAGAAGGCTGGACTAGATGGGTCTTTGGTCTGATCCAGCAGAGCTCTTCTGATCTTCCTGCAGAGATAATTACACTCTGCATGTGCTTGGGAGCTCTTTCCGCAGTTACAACTTCACCTCCTCAAAGTTCAGCCACAGTACTGAAAACAGATTAAGAGACCAAAACCCAGCAAGCCAAATTAAATCATTGTCTTCTTCTTTTTCCTCCCCCAGCCTGTAATTACAGCCAATAAATGTCAAGCATTTCGAACACTGGTTCTTAATGCTTGGCAACAAAGACACAGGCCTGGTGTTCAATAAATTCTCTTTTTTTAAAAAGGAAGGAAAAAAATCTGCCCTTAATGCTCCTCTCCATCCATTATTCAGCAGCCCCTAGCTGATAATGAGATCTAAAACCGACCTTTAGGTTTTTCTGAGTTCTACCTTTGATCCTTGGGTGATCATTATCTTTGTGCCTTAAGTTATGCAAGGCAGCACTCTCGCCCTCAGTACCATTTTGCTGAGGCTGTACCATTTATGTGTTACAGGAAGACAAGCAGAGTCAAAGCTGACCCAGGACATCCTGGTGCCCAGAGCTAGGAAATCTGAATAGTTTCGCTCCTCACTTCACGCAAATTAACATGGGATGAAATCCATGGGGAAGTTCTCTTGCAACACACACACACACACACAATTGAAATGAGCAGGAGCTGCACAAGAGCACTCCCATTCTTTTTGAAATCCCTCACAGATTGTGTTCCCTTGATGAGGATCAGTCCCTCTGCCATTCAGGCTTCTTAAATAGGACCCCAATTTTTTGTCAACTTGCCTTCATGCAGCAGAGTTTCTGGCAGATTGATGAATGGTGTGGAAAACAAATGAACAGCTGGGCATGTCCTATGGCAAGCTTGTCAGAAGCCGTGTGCCCACTGCCCCGTGGCAAGTAAGGTTTGCCTCCAGTTGGAGAAAGTTTTTTGTGAACTGGAAAGGGGGATGGCTTTTCCCCTTTTTATTTCAGGCAATTCAGTACCTCTGAAATAACTAGCTTAGGCACATGTGTAGACAGGCAGGCTAGTAATTCTTTTTCCGTGGGCTCATAGCTTTTATAGACTGATTTGCAAGACTGTTGTATTACTTAATGAGCTATTAATAGTGTTCCTTGAAAGTAGTATATAAAGCAGGCATAGGCAAACTCGGCCCTCCAGATATTTTTGGGACTACAACTCCCATCATCCCTGACCACTGGTCCTGTTAGCTAGGGATCATGGGAGTTGTAGTCCAAAAACAGCTGGAGGGCCAAGTTTGCCTATGCCTGGTTTAAAGCAGTAACTTCATAAACATGCCTCTATATACCAGCTCCATCAAGGAAAATAGTTCATTATTATTAGCCTTCTAATTTCACAACAGGAAAAGTGAAGCAAAGTGAATAATGTTACACACACACACACATACTGGTTTCATAGATGTATGAATACTCCCTCGTCACTCATAATAAAGTTGTCCTGCAGACACAACTTCTGAACTCAGGAGCACAGGAAGCTGCTTATAATGAGACAGACCCCGGTCCATCTAGCTCAGTATTGACTACATGGACTGGCAGCAGCAGCCCAGGGTTTCAGACAGGGGGTATTCCCAGCCCTAGCTGTAGAGGCTGCCAGGGACTAAACCTGGAGCCTTCTGCAAACAAAGCAGCTGCTTTATCCCTGAGCTGCAGCAATTCCCCTCAATGTCTTTATTGAACTAGCAAAGGGCTTGACAGTAGGATGGACTAAATTTCTTCCATAAAAATGGAATTGTTTATGGTGACCTCTGTGCTTTAAGTATTTATTTATGTCAAATGATATGGCCAGACCTAAGACAGCTTAACAGGAACACAAGAAGCTGTCTTCTACCATGATGGACAGAGGTTCTCCAGGATCTGAGGAAGGAGACCTTCTCAGCTCTACTTGGACATGATGCCAGGGATTCAGCCTGGAGCCTTCTGCTTGGAAAGCAGATGCTCTGCCATGGAGCTACAGCCCTTTCCCACATCCAGCATGGGCTGATGCGCCTACAAAGAGGTGGAAATACAAATAAGCAGATAGAAAACCAGAATTGGGCTGGTTTCACACAACTGTATTCTACACTGTAAAGTTAACATGAATTGGCTTTCCCATGAGCTTTGAAGCATTGATTTAATTATATAAAGCACCACTGCTGTATGGTACTTTACAGAGTACAAAAGGATAAGACCCTGCCCCAAGGAGCTATCAAGCTAAAATCTGATACATAGGGAAACTGAAAAAGGGAAGCAGGAGCGAACAGAGAAGCCATCTGCTGTTGTTTCAGGCGCAGGTGCTTAGGCTTGGCCAAGGGCTGATCTTGCAAAATCAGTCAGTGCGTCCAAACTCAACAAAACCTAGTTCCATTTTATTCATTCATCCCACTTTTCTTTACAGTAGCTCTACATGGGTACCTGAGGCAGATCTCCCATCAAAGCACTGACATGGACTTGCTTTGCCTCAGCAAAATGACTGCACCAGGTACACCCCTGTTTTGCTGCTGTTTTCTTTTTTAAATATAGGTTTGTCCAGGGCAGGACAAGTTCTGTATCTGCACTTGAAGTGAAGTATTAAGATGACTGATTAAGCAAGTAAAAAATATACTGGGAAAAGATCACTGTGTCTGTTATATACCCTGCTTCCCTCCCAAGCATAGTCCTCCCTTTCATTTTACCTTGTCAGCAACACTATGAGGTAGGTTAGGCTGAGAGATAGCGACTGGTTGAAGGTACCCAGTGAGTGGGGATTTGAACCTGGTTCTTCCCAGTCCTAGCTGCACACCAACCATACTTTGAAAACTCATGGCAAGAATCCCTGGAACTGTAAGTTTGTTAAGGGTGCCGGGAATTGTAAATCTGTAAGGGGTAAACTACAGATCCTGATATGCTTTGGGGGAAATCTACTTGAAATTTATGGTGTGTACATCGCTTTTCAGTGAGTGAGAGGCGGGTAAAATAATGTCTGTATGCCCTGGGCTTTATGTTAGCAAGCACAAAACACTAATGCTTTTGCATTAACCAACCAGGCAGGATGGTTAAATGACACTAGTGGGAAAAGCACCTACCTAGCTTACCTCCCAGTACCACTCAATGCATGTTCCCATAAAGGAGACAATACAGTTAGCCGAAAGGGCCAGCAACGCTTTATCTTTAATGAAGGCTCTGATGACTTTGGTCAAGGTCAGACAGAGTTAAAATCAGGAGCACAACACAAACTATTAGGTGCATCAGTAATAACAGTAGGGGAAGCTATCCTATGCCCAGACTACTTCCCTGCCAAGGGGAGCAGATGAAGCTGCCTTATACTGAGCCAGGCCATCTAACTCAAAGTTTTCTATGATGATTTACAGTGCAAAGAAAGGTTTTCCTCATAACGTGCTACTTGGAGATCTCAAGAGTCTGAACCCAGGACTTCAGGATACAAAGTGCATGCTATGAACTATGAACGCATGAACTATGGCCCTCCCCCTTCTGTCTGTATATCATTTTTTGAAAGGTTTGTGAAATACAAGTACGAATTCCATCCCCCCATTTTAAACCAATCATTTACCCTCCACTTATTTTAGGCGTTGTGCCTTTTGAGCATAAGAAGATGCCTTTTACTTAGTCAGACCATTGGCCTATCTGGCCTAATATTGCTTACACTGACTGGCAGCTGCTCTCCTGGATTTCAGATAGGAATCTTTCCCAGGTACACCTGGAGATACCATTATGGGGGCAAAAGGGCTATAGGTTGGTGGAAGAGCATCTGCTTTACAGTCCCAGGTGGAATCCCTTGCAACTCCAGGTACAGATGAAATATCCCCAGTCTAAAACCATGAGAGCCACTGTCCATGCTGACAATATTGAACTAGATGAGCCAATGGCCTGACTCAGTACAGGACAGTTTCCTACTGAACCTGGGACTTTCAGCAGGCAAAGCAAGTGATGTATCACTCACTCATGGTCCCTTCTGAAAGAATGGGTTGTATCCGACTACTGAAAATAGACCCACTGAAATTGATAAACTTAAGTTAGTCATGTCTTTTCATTGAAATGGGTCTACTCTAACCAATGTTGTACACAACCCATTCATTTCAATTACTTTTTTAAATACAACCCAATATCTCGACTTACCCTACCCTCTTCACACAACTGTGTCTGATCTTGAGGATCCTTAAGACACATTAGTTTCACTTTGCTATGAGAAAATATAAATACTTCTACTCACATGAGTGCAAAATTTCTGGGGTGGGTTCCCGCAGGTGATTCCTGATGGCTCCACTCGCACTGTTGCGTATTCCTTCATGGGCACGGCCCTGGGTTGGCAAGCGTAAAATTCCCACATTGGCCCATTGTCTGTGGTCACCCAGGATTTGCAGATGTCATACTGTCCCATGACCAGTGGGAGGCAGTGCAATAAGAAAGCAGCGTGGTGCAGCATGGCAGCTGTGACTAAGCGCAAGGATCCTGGGCAAAGGAGATGCCTAAAGTTTTGAGCAAGGCAGATCCTGGCAAGGGGAGGCTTTCGGGATCAGCATGGAAACTCCACATCTAATACAAACAGCAAACACTTAGGAGGTCCTGTTGATGATGCTTGAAATGCGTGTTTAGGCAAGAAGAAAGTCTCTGTTACAGCCAATACATTTCTAGATGAACTTGTTCAGAGAATTTGGGCAAACCTTTCCAGGCCTGCTGATCAGTCATCAAAAGTCTTCCTTAACTTCAGTGTGTGTGTGTGTGTGTGTGTGTGTGTGCATAAATGATCATCCAAATCAGTGTGAAAATATCTAGAGGTGACTCTCCTCAATCAATCGATAGAACTATCGAGTTCTGATTCTATGACGAAATTTGATCAGTGGAGGGGGGGGGGTAGAAGGAGGCAATGCGGTTGGGGCTAGATCAAGTTTTCTTCAATCTTATTTCCCCATCTGCTACAACGTGAAGCTTTCTAAAGTGCTTTGAAGCTGCAATATGCTTTGTTTTATTTTAAGGGGGGAAATATTTTATGTAAAAAAATAATGTAGCATGATATGGAATTTGGAAAGGGCATTAATCAAATCTTTGGGAATACAGTTTCCTTGAAAGTAAGTGTGTGGCTCAAGAGAAGTTTGACTTGGCAAATTTGTCCACTGTTGACGGAGCTGTGGCCTATCTATTTTTAAAAACAAAAAACAAAAAAATTTGGATATATCTGTGGGTGTTTTCTGGTGTGCTTTTGTCTTCTTTCAAGAGAAGGGAGGCACTCATAGAAAACTACTGCTGGCTTCCACCAACTTTATCGCAAAGTATCCAAAGCTTCCGGCTACAGACTGAGGATCCTCCTGAGTTTTTCTTGCTTCTCCTTGACGACATAAGGAGAAAGCAGCTAACTCCTTCGCGAAAACTGCCTGAAACCACAACAAAAATTGAAAAAGTCAAACCTGCAAAAGAGAGTTCCCCACAGAATGTTTTAAGGGAGAGCGTAACTCTCAAGGTTGTTAACGTTATATGTGGGTTATGCAAAGGCTTTTCTCAGAATTGTCACATCTCTGTTACCATAAACAGACAGATGAAAAAATCACAGCCCCTGAAGAAAAAGAAGAATGGACCATGAACAGGCAAGACAAGGCATGGAGGCCAGACAGGAAAATGGGTAAGTCTTAAAGAGCCAAGCTAAATAAATAACATAACCAGACAGAGGCACAGTCCAGCCTCCACGCAGAGGATTTATTTGAACAATGAAATTTAATAAAAAACAATTTGAAGGACTAATCATATTTAAGGCTCTCCTAATACACAAAGAGCAGTGACCTCTCCCGTTGTTCACTGGACTTTAATTCAACATCTCTGCAGTCTTGCCCACTCCCATTCCAATAGAGCCATTATAAAAATATGAAAAATAACAACCCAAAAACCCTCAATCATAAATCAAAATGACTAAGAACAAAACACACATATGAACACTCACATTGCAAAGCCAAAACTGCTCCCACACAAACACACACACACACAAAATCCCATTGCAGATTCTACAAAGTATGGTGGCGTTTGGAGAAAACCTTGATTGCAGACTAAATTTCCCATCCCTTCTACAACTTGCCAACCCTATGAAAAGACCACTTGAATAAGATATGCAGAGTATTTATTTATTGGTTAGTCTACATTTTCTATGCAAAATCTTCAGTTACATCTCCATGCACATCAAGGGAGGAGGGAAGGGGGGGGGAGAAGGAGAGGGGAAATGGCACACCTATTCAGTAAGCATGCTTTTTCTCCCCTTTAAAAAATAATAATAAAAGGCTGAAAGCTAACCTGATCAAGATAGTCAGATAAAAAAGCAAGACCCGTCTTCTCTGCTTTGCCCTCTAGCTGTTTAGAGGCACCTTTCTGAACTGCGTTGGCCCAGAATAAACTCCCAAAGAAAGATAGTCTGGTTGCTATTTTTAAAGTCATGAGTAAATTGGGGGTGGGGAGGAAATAATGAAGCAAAGTGAGACAGAAATTGCTCTATAAGCCTTGCTGACATCATGTCTGCCTTTTCAGTGATTTTTTAAAAAATGCAACAATTTCCTTATCACATCAGATTTGTCATGAGCTCTTGTGATAACATAAGAGGCGTAATAGTTTTGTCATCCCAAACCCACATTTAGTTTTGGATTGGGCCTGGGGATGGTGGCAGAGAGTTGAAAATGGGGAAAACATGCTGACAAACTGACAAATCTATTTTCAGAAATGTAGAAATATCAAAATTTTACACTGGAGCAGGTTGACAGGAAAGGAAAGGAAAGGAAAGGAAAGGAAAGGAAAGGAAAGGAAAGGCATCTATAATATCAGTTGCTATGTTGCTGCATTTGTTAAATGCTGCACATTCCCAGCAGACAATATAAAACTGATTTGGTGTGTATTCGTGGAAAGCCAAAGAGGCAAGCTGTCTCATTATTAAATTTCGCATTTCAATATCACAGGTGTTTTGTGGAAAGAGCTTGCCAGCATTGCCTTCAAAGAATATGGTGTAAGTATTGGGTCATTTTTTTCTTTAAAAAAAAGAAAAAGGTCTGGAACTAATAGCTTGGCTAAGGTTGGGTTTCAATTCCTACTGCAAAAATATAAATCTTCACCTGATATTTATTAAGAAACTGCACTTCCCAGGAAGAGCAGAATCAATGCCTTTATTTTCTTTTAAGAGTACAAGGCAGTCACAGGGGACTGATAGCCAGCCCCACAAAATTAGATTTTATCTGGGTATCTGGACTTCCTTCTTTTCTCTTTTATTGGATTAACATGCTTCTGAAATAAAGAGGCAACCCAGAGTTACAATGCCCTGCTGGGGAATTAAGTGCAGAAAGTAAACTTGATTGTTCCACCAGGCAATTAAATGTAGTCTTTCCCAGAAGTGGTACTTTTAAAAGAAAGGGGGAAAGCCTGAGTATGAAACAGATTGTACAAGAACCTGTTTGGGGGAGAGGTTTGGCGGGAGTTGGATACTTATTTTGGGGCGTACCCCTATCCTCTTCAAACAGATTGTGTTGTTTTAATCATCTTTTTTTAAAAAAAGTTAGTAAATAAATCTCAAATGTGCTACACAGAAGAGATACAGACACAGTAATAAAATGTTTAACAGCTCAGAGAAGGAATTATGTTCCCAGGAGAAGCAACAAAACTTTCATTCATAAGTAGCTGCCATCCTCAATATATTTCTAGTCCCAGAGTGTTCCATGTTCCCTTCCTTAAATCCAGTTCCCTTTTCAAACTAATGTTTTACATGCAGATATTTCAAGGACTCAGGTTAGAAAACAGGGAATAAGATGTCATACAATTGCCCCTCGCTTTGCACGAACTTATTTTTGGGGTCTTAAAATCAATTGGGGATGACATCACTCTCTGGCAGAAGATGGAGAGATCTGCAAGTAACTTCACTTGTATATGAGAAGGCAGAAGGCTCTGACAAGGAACCTGAAAAAAGTTAGGCATTGTGGGAGGGAGCATACTGTGGAGAGACAAATTAAGTTCTTTGCAAATTAAAAGCCAAGTGGCAAAACACTTTAGAGACCATGTCTTTAAAACTTGCACCAGGAGGTGAAGCAGCAGACACAGCAAACTGTAGGGAGTGGATGGATTTCAGAAAGTTATGCCCAATCAATCAATATTAAAAAGAGGGGTTTTTTTAAAAGTCCATGCGTATCTCGTTCCCTGTCCTTATAATTTTGTAAATAATTTTAGCATATGCATGGAGCAAAGCACACTTTAGTCACAGAGAAAGATTGGGAAGGGGGAGTGAGAAAGAGGGGGGGGATGTGCAGGATGTTATCAGGAGGGTGAATCCTAATTTATTTACTGTTAGGAGAAGGAGAAGGAGAGGGAGAAGAAGTTGAATCCAGTGAAGTTCTACCCAGCATAGAGCCACTGAAATTTATGGAAACCTTCGTAAATTGCGCCCATCAATTTCAATGGGTTTCTGCTGAATAGGATTAACACTGGATACGACCTAATAATAACCATAGATTAAATGTGAACCGCTGGGTAGCCTAGTCAAAATGCATCAGATTTAAAGGCCGGCTGAGAAGAGAAAGTCAGAAGGTGGGGAGGGGGAGAGACCTGTAACTAAACACCATACAGATTGCTTTGACTCCTGAGTGCCTTTTGCTCAGAGGCAAAAGAAAAGTAGCCCTAGATGAAGAAGTCAGCCGCGAGAACCGGGAAGGGCTAATAATAAGAGGGTGCTTTCAGAAGAAAATAGTGAGAGCCATAAAAGCAAATAAATAAATAAAATACAACACAATACAAAGCCTGCCGCATCTCCACCCGGAGGAGCCGCTTGTTAGGTAACTTTTCCTCCCTCTGCTAAACAGCGGCGGCGGCGCTTGGGAATTTCCCTGCCCGCCTGCCCGGGAGTGCTAAAGAACAGCTCCTTTGCTGGCGGCGGCGGCGGCGGCGCCTCCCGTCCCACCCCAGGTCCCCTCACGCCCTGCTGGGGCTGGGGATCTGCTTGGCTTACCGGCATCCGCAGCTCCTGTAATCCGGCGCAGTGACGGAGCAGAGAGAAAGGAGAGAGAGAGAGAGAGCCCCAGATCGAGGCGGCGCGCAGGGCGGAGGGATGGATGGCTTCCCTGAACGCAAGGCGAGCCCTAGCCTCGCTCGCAGCCTCCGGGGTGCCCTCGGGAACCCAGCGCGTCCCGCCCGCGATCTGGACGCCGTTGGGGGATCCTCGCCCCTCTGCAATACACAAAGTTGTGTGCGAAGCGAACTGCCCGGCCAAGGGGGGTCGGGGTGGGAAGGAGGCGAGAGAAGTCCCTTTCCTCCCTTTCCTCTCTCCTCCTCTCTCTTCTTCTCCTTCCTCTCGCTTTTTAAAATCTCCGCTTCCTTCCTTTGGGCTTCCAAAGCGAGGTCTGGGTACGATGGCAGCGCCCGGGAGGGTGGATAGAGAGAGGAGCCAAGTTCAACTTTTTCCTTTCGGAAAGAAAACGCCCCACCAGAGGATCCCGCTCTTCTTCATCCCCTTCGCTCCCCACCCTTCGCTCCCCCTCCCTCCCCTCCCGGGTCGGTCTGGGGAGGGTTTTACACACACACACACAGCGCAGATAAGAAGCCTTGGCTCTCCTTTGCTCAGCCTCTCTGCGGGCAGGACGGCTCCGATCCCCCTCGCTGGCACTCAAGGGCGGGTAGATGATGGATGCAAAGAGAGGGATGGATAGATAGCTGGCATCTCTCTCTCTCTCTCTCTCTCTCTCTCTCTCTCCAAGTTCAGGCACGGAGCCTCAAATCCTTTTGGCCATCACTTTCAATCACCAGCAGAGCTTTTATCCCCGCGCCTGATTCAGGCTGCGTAACTTCCTCTGTGTTGCCTTCACACACCACGCACCATCCCACCCGGCCGGGCGCTCTTAAAGGTGCAGCCGGGAAGGAAACGCAGCCATGGCAGGGCAAAGGGGGGGGGGGAGGGGACACGGTGCGAGAGAGGGAGAGAGAGCGCTTGTAAGAAAGAAACAAAAAAACAAAAAAAGGAAAACAGAAGTAAATCCCAAAGGGAGGGAAAAACGTAAAAGCAGGACAAGCGGCGTCTTGCTGAAGGAGCTCTTCAGCCAATGCACCTTCATTTAGCCAGAACAAGCCCTTTCCCCGCACAGGACCCTCGCCTGCTACCACAGGTTAGAGAGCTGTAGGTCCCTTTGAGGATGCTCTCCTGTGGCCCCTCCAGATTTTGTTGGACTCTTAACACTCCCATTAGCCTGGGCCAGTAAGACCAATGGTTAGGGACTGTGGAAGTTGACGTCCATAGGGCATCAGGTTGGGAGTCTGCCCCAGAAGGAATCTTGCCAGTAAGTGGCACCCCTGTTACAGAACAGTCTCCCCAGAGAACCTCACCTGGCACCATCTTTGTGTGTCACCTACAACTTTAAGTTCTCCCAGGTCATTAAAAAAAACAAAACCCCAAGTCTGATTCTCTCCATTTTAAAATATGTCTTTTAACTTTGGATTAGGGTGAGTTTTCTTTTCTTGTTGTACTTGTGTTGCTTTGATTTCACAGTTTCATGTTTTATTTTGTATTTAAATTCATTTAAATGCACATTGTTCTTATTGTTAATTTTTTTAAAAAAAATAAAAGTTATTTTTTAAAAATGGAAATTGTTTGCATAGTCATTTACTGCAAATGTTATCAGGGTAGGATACAAATAGTATTAATGGAATAAACAAGCCAAGTAATTAATTAATTAATGTATAAGATCCAGGTGCTAGCATCACAAGAGGACAGACCAAATTTGGTCCATTCTAGTCCAACACCCTGTCCTCTTACAATATCACTTATATCCCCCCTTTCCTCCAAACAGCTCACAGAATTATACACAGCTTGTCGCTTCTTCCACTTTATTTTCACCTGGAACAATTTTCTGGAAACAACTACACTAAAATTCTATCTATCTAACCAGCCACCCACCCATCTTTAAAATTTATATTCTACTTTCTCATCATAAGAAAACAAAGAGACTTAAAACAATAAAATCAACAATTAAAGCAATGGCCATCAAATTATCAAATCAATAAGAAAAAACAACAAGGCAGTAAGAGTAAGTAATGGAAACAATCAGAAAGCAGGACATAGGGTGCCCCCAGGCTGGCAGTATTTTTCAGGAGGGATTCAAGCACATACTGTAAATTTAAAGGTAAAGGTAAAGGGACCCCTGACCGTTAGGTCCAGTCGTGGATGACTCTGGGGTTGCGGCGCTCATCTCGCTTTATTGGCCGAGGGAGCCGGCGTACAGCTTCCGGGTCATGTGGCCAGCATGACTATGCTGCTTCTGGCAAACCAGAGCAGCGCATGGAAATGCTGTTTACCTTCCCGCCAGAGTGGTACCTATTTATCTACTTGCACTTTGACATGCTTTCGAACTGCTAGGTTGGTAGGAGCAGGGACCGAGCAATGGGAGCTCACCCCGTCGTGGGGATTCGAACCGCTGACCTTCTGATTGGCAAGCCCTAGGCTCTGTGGTTTAACCCACAGCGCCATCCGCGTCCCTGCTGTAAATTTAGATTTGAACAATTAAAGTGGATTAAACCATTTTCTTGCTCTGGCATAGCAAATGCATTTTTTTAAAAACTACAGATTTTTTTGCAGTTTGGAAAGTGACAGGGAAAAGCACTGAGGTGTGTGGTGAATGAATGATGAATGGGAGAATGTTTAAGAATGGGAGAATGTTTAATGTATAAGGAAATCAGGATGAATGCAGAACAAATGTTCCTTATCATCTTAAGTTCCCCCACTAACAAATCACAATGAATGCTCAATATAGGCTAGACATAGTCTAATGTCTGCATAAGCTTTGTTGAAGCAAACCAGGATGAATGCTGAATAAAGAGGACATCTGAAGGAGGCTACAGCGCATCAAAGCAACACAAAAGAAGGCAAAGAGCCCATCCATAGTTTCAATAGGGGTAGACAAGCACCAGTGTTCTATGCATGTGTTTCTACACATGTGTAACTGAAATAACTTCATAATGCTTCCTCCCCTTCCATCCCTTTCCTCTGCTCTTTCTCTGTCCTGGGCTAGTTCAGTGTTAATAAAGTACATTAAGTGTAGGCAAGGCCAGAGAATAGCGCTTCACCAAAGGCACAGGGAAAATGTATTCCATTTGCCTCCACTGCTGGAGTCTCATATATCACATTGCAGGGATAGCCAAGCCAAGGCAACTCAGGAAATGCTTTAAGATACATTTGATGTTCAAGGAAAGAGAAAGAAAATTCCTGATCTTTATCAGCTCTGGGGAAGGAGGCAAGCACAGAAACAGGAGGGGGAGAGCTTTTAGAGGCAGAGTCTATAATTAGCAACCCATCAGATGTGAAATTTGTCTTTCTACTCATTAAAATGAAGACATTTGTTTTGAGATGGATGTTTTGTTGCTGTTTTGCTCCAGTGGCATATCCACATCCAGTCTTGAGGACTGCAATATTCCCACAACTTTCCTGTCCAACAAACATTTTAAACAACTTCTCCAAATGGAGTTGCTCCAAGGCATTTTGGTGGAAAACATCTAAATGGTACTCCTTTCCTAGGGACAGATGAAACTGTCATTTTTTGTTTCTCTTGTTTTCCCAGTCTTAAAGTTTGCCACATTTCCACATCAGTTTGCAAGAAAAAAAATAAATCCTCATAAATATTTGCCAGACTTTTTAGTGTGCTGCATTTCTCCTAATATACACAATTTAGATGCAATTTTGTCTGATACACACATTTTTGAAAGCAGTGTTCCTCATAAAATTTTTATGATATAATCAGCAATAGATGCATATTTATTGCTCACTTGCCCCTAATATATATGAATTTTGTACATTTCTGTGGTTGGAGAACCACATCACAAAATTTAGAAAGGTGCAAATTTGGAAACATATTTGCATTTTGCTTCACATATAGTTTTAAAAAGTGCAAATGTGGGAGGTTTGTATTAAAAATGGAACCAAATCCCACCCGCGCCCCAATCCCTCCTCTCCCCTCCTTCTAATTCACATGTGGCCTAATCTATATGTTTTGCAGCTAAGTCCCAATTGAAATGAAAGGGGGCTTTCCCTTATTTCAATGGTGTCAATAGATTGTGCCCTGTGTGTCTGATTGGAATGCTGCCTTTAAGAGTACCCACAAGGGACAAGCTGTGTCACTTTGCCTTGCAGCAGAATTGCCCATTCCTCTCTGCTGTTACTTCTCTAGAACTCTTTTGCTTTACACCACCTAGAGGGATCTTTAGACATGGATTCCACTGGTAACAGGTTTCACTAGTAATAGGAATGAAATTGACTTAACACGGAGAGACATCTATCCATTCAGCAACAATACTGTCATGAACCTTAAGGCATGACTTTTAAGATTCCTGTTGATAAGAAGCAGCCTTCCTTATGAAGGGATATAAGATGCAGTTCCCTCCAAGTCCATATGTTCTGACTCCTTAGTGTCTTTAGGGATGGCCGACACAATGGGGTGGCCCATTGTAGGAAGCAGCCTAATACCAGGGTCAGACTCTTTGTTCACATAGTTCAGAATTGTCTACTCTGATTATGGCTAGCTATTCTCTGGAGTATCAGGCAGAGAATCTCCCATCACCTCCAATATAATCCTTTTAAACTGGAGATACTAGGAACAGAACCTGAGACCTAGCTCAGTGGCAGAGCATTGGTTTGCATGCAGAAGGCCTCAGCTTCAATATCCTGGAAGGGCTAGTCCTATGAACTTCTACATGCAGAGTAATTGCTTTAACACTGAACTATGTCCCTTCCCAGCATGAAATAAATCCTGGTTTTGCAGTCTGTTGGAAACTGCAAAAATATCAGTGTGTGTGGTTGTCACATAATGGGACATGGCCAGTGAGTTGAATTTGTCTAGGCCTGCCGTAGGGTGTACTTGATTGTTATTAAAGGATAGATCCTTCTATCTTCTCAGGATCAGGCTCCACCTTGGTGGAAGGGCCATCAGCTGGTATTGAACATTTAAGAGCCTGCTATTCTCACAATAGACCATCAATTGCCTGTGAGAAACCGACAAGCAGGATTCGCACACAAGTACACTTCCCCCTCCTGTGGTTTCGAACAACTGGTACCAGGGATTCTTGGAAAAGAAGAATCCTGAATTGCACACTCAAATCAGTGTGTGTGTGTGTGTGTGTGTGTGTGTGTGTGTTCCCCTCACATCAATTCTTGCTCAAAACCACAGCTTTTTGAGCCAGGTGCACATCCATTTTAATGGAGATGATAGGAATGGGAAAGATTTCTAGGTTAGTAGCTGAAAAACATGTTCATAATGAGTGAAGTAATTGAATAAATGCTGACAATTTGATGTGGAAAATGCATAATCAGCTAGCTCTACAAGAGTTATACTTTTTCTCCTTCCTTCCTGCTTTCCTTCCACTTTCTCTCTCTCTCTCTCTCTCTCTGCACTGGGATGAACATTTATTCTCTACTGAGCAGGTGATCTGCTCAGCTAAAAAGCAGCCAGGGGCGGGGAGGGAGGAGAAACCTGGATATTTATACAGACACACACACACACACACACACTTCCCTCCAGTGTTCATGCGCCAGTTCCCAAATAATTGACCCAGTTATGAATATATTCTGTGCACATCATGGGAGTGTGTGTACACACACACACACACACACACACACACACACCCCTTGCTCAACACCCTCCCTAGTTTTTAGGTGAAATCCAGTGGAATGCCTTCTCCACAAATTGGCACATGAGAAGAGTAGCAGATTGGGTGGCGGAAGGTGGGGAGAAGCCATTCAAACTCTTTTCACACAGTACAGTGTACCTCGGGTTAAGTACTTAATTTGTTCCAGAGGTCCGTACTTAACCTGAAACTGTTCTTAACCTGAAGCACCACTTTAGCTAATGGGGCCTCCTGCTGCCGCCGAG